AATTTTCGGTTTTAGTGAATATTTATATAAAAATACAAGTTGAAACGCGTTACTTCCTTGTGGAATGTGATGTTAGTGTTTATTTGATGTTTGCCTGTACTATTTTTACATCCATTTACCGCACATTTCGTCATTTTTAGCAAAAATTTTGGAGCTGTTCGCGGTGCAATTTGACCTTGAGCACTAACAGCCCGCCCGCTCGTGTAGGCAGTTTGGGAAGCCTCTAACTTGCCTCACTTAGCGCGTGCGGGCTAGGTTTCTATGCGTTATTATTCTAAGTATGAGGGCTTGATTCGTGTCGCCTCGGTATGGTCAACATGCACATATCGAGGTAGACATGAGCGCCGCGTCGGCGCGCCGCCGCCGCCGCGTGTGTCCTCGCACCGCCGCCGCCGGCGCCGCCGAGAAAAGCAATCGGCGCGCCGTTCAGTTCGATCAGGCGCTCCGATCGTACGCACGCGCACGCTTCCGTATTGTGTATGTGAAAATGGCGACGCCAGAAAATGACTTTTCTCATATAAGACTAATTTTTTTTTAATTAAATGTAAGTTCGCATTTGACCTCCACCTCACCTGATGGAAAGTGACGATGAGGTCGACGATAGATGAATGCCTATTCACTTTTGCCATGAAAAGGCCCAAGTTATAACGTGCAGGGAACAAGTCTGCAGGCAGGGAATTCCACTCCATAGCCGTTCGCCATATAAATGTGGAAGAGTAACGCTTCGTGCGAATCTTTGGAATATCCACAACATAGAGGTGGAATCCAAGTCTACGTCGAGTCCCCCGGTGATGGAAAGGGGAAAGCGGAATTAAATCGTGTAATTCCATCGCACACTCTCCATTATATATCCTGTAAAATATAATAATATAACCGATAAGCTGGCTTTGGCTGCAGAGCCTTGGACCAATCAAAATCGTTACGTTCAAGTAATAGTAATAGAGCGTGAAGTTTGAATTGCACACAAGCTAAAAAGTGACGATATCGGTACCCGAACTTACATAGCGTCATTACATATCTCCCGTTTTTTCCTATATCTATGTAAATTAAAATTATTAATTTTTAATCAAAATTAAAGTAATTTTTCAGCGTAGCTTTGGTAGCATTTGTGTCGATCGCTTGAGAGAGGATTTTACTAATATTGACTGGTCTGCATTGATTGAAGCTAACACGGTAAATGAGAAGATGAAAATTTTTAACAATCGGTTAATAAAAAGCAGTATGACTCTCATGCCCCACTCAGACTAGTGCGCGTTAAGCATCTGCCTGCGCCTTGGCTTACACAATCAATAAAGGAAATCATGAAACGTAGGGACAAGGCCAAGTCGATCCTTAAGAGGTTTCCAAATGACGATAATTTGCTTTCCTATAAACGGCTGCGCAATCTCTGCAACAGACTGTGTCGTGACGCCAAACGGCGTTACATCCATTCGTCGATAGAAGGCTTGTCTACGGGTCAAACCTGGAAGTTCTTGAGATCACTTGGTGTGGGTAGAGATCGTGATTGTACTGTTGCCTTACCTGACCTTAATTCACTCAACAATACTTTACCAACTCACCATTTACAGTTGCCGACTCTATCAAAGCATCCACGCTCACCTCTCTGGGCACTGTTACTCGTCCTGCTTGTGAGCCTTTTTCTTTTCGCGAAGTCACTGAGGGGGAAGTTAAGAAGAGTATCCATAACTTTCAAGGCCGTGAATGAAGATGGTATTTGCCGTGACATGCTGATCTTGGATGACGTTGCATCAATTATCACACACATTATGAATCGTTCACTTGCAACTGGCGTCTTTCCTAGCGACTGGAAATTAGTCCATGTCATTCCCATCCCTAAATCCGCTACTCCCACGGCTTTCTCCCAATTTCGTCCTATCTCCATCCTTCCATTCCTGTCCAAGGTCCTTGAAAGCACTGTTCATAAACAACTTTTCTCATTTGTCTCTCGTTATGATCTTATAAGTCCATATCAATTCGGTTTTCGTCCTGGTCATACACAGTAACTGCCTTACTTAACGTCACGGATGATATTCGCCACGCCATGGATAACCGATTGTTTACCATTATCGTGTTACTGGACTTCAGCAGTGCTTTCAACTCTGTCGACTATGATATCCTTCTTGCCATTCTCTGCTCTCTTAACTTCTTCCCTGCTGCAATCGCTTGTTGTTCAGACTACCTCCGCAATCGCCTTCAAAGGATCATGCATGATGACACTTATTTTGAATGGTCTCCTTTGACTTCAGGGGTGCCTCAGAGTGGTGTACTTTCACCTCTTCTCTTCTCGCTGTTCATAAATGAACTCACAAAACCAATTACTCCTCCATTCCACTTATACGCGATTATTTGCAAACTTATAGACACTTTGATGTAGCTAATACCCTATCTGCCATTGAAGCTATTAATAAAGATCTTCTTGTGGTGAAGTCTTGGGCTGGTGCATTTGGTTTGCTTGTAAATACAACGATATCACAGGCAATAATCGTAGGTAGCAAGACACTGTAGGACTGTAGGTTGGACATTAATAACCTCCCCAAGGTTTCTTATAATGGAGTGAGACATCATATGCTGATAATACAAAGAACCGGGGTCTGATAATCGACCATACACTGTCTTGGAGACCGCAGGTAATGAGGTTAGTCGACGCATGCATTTTTACTACCATTCTCTCAAGGGGCTTCAATTCTTCTTGCCGTTCAATACCAGGATTATGCTTGCTCAGGCTTTACTACTTCCTCTTCTCGACTATGCCGATATTTGTTATTTGGATGCTACAGAGGAGCTGCTTAACAAACTGGAGCGCCTACAAAATCTGGCAATCCGTTTCATATTCGGTTTACGTAAATATGACAGTGTCTCTGAATTTTGGACTAAGTTGAAATTACTACCAATCCGACTTCGCCGAGATATGCACGTTCTTTGTCTCCTTTATAAAATTCTATATTACCCCCAGCTTCCTCATTATCTGTGTTCCTGTTTTTCTCCCTTATCCCCCAGTTCCCGCCCAAAACGTACCTGTGACACTAGATCACTAAAAAATCCCCAATCCAACTCGAAATTCTTCCACAACCCTTGCACGGTAAGTACAATTCGTATGTGGAATAAACTGCGTGCTGGCATTCATGACAGCCAATCGGTGGCATCTTTCAAACACAAATTAATACTGTCGAACGCGTTAGATAGCTAATCGGTAACATATATGTAAACTAGTCATTTGTTTAGATTATAATATATACTCTGCTTATGTATGTATTTATGTTATCATGTGTATTATCATCCTTTATGCAAACATTTAAATTTTAATTTTATTGTACAATAATTAGTCCCGCAGACTTCATTTTTCACCTAGGCTAGGGTTGGCTGGAAGAGCTGGAAGAGATCTCTTCTAGAGATAAGCTCACCTTTGTATATGTCCTTTATAACTTGTGTTTCATGTATCTTTTCTTTGTGCAATAAAGAATAATATCCACATTAGTTAAAATATGCTTTTGCTTGTAGCTCATAAAAAAATTTCCTTGCTGAAAACTTAATTATCGACTACATTTTTTTACATGGTGGCTCTAGAATTACTTTAACATCTAATTTCAGCTTTCCGAGTGAGTAATTTTATCTTACGATGCAGTAAAACTATTTCCGGGAATTAAAAATTAATTAATATTTGGTGGTTTTAACCTCTCTACGTTACTCCTTATATTTACATTGTGTAGCCATTTATTTACTCATTTGGAACACCCTACTCCGACTATTGCTTATGACTATGAGTGACATATATGCATGTTACATTTAACTGCTCTTGTAGGAACAGTACCTCTGACGTCATGGCGCATTAAATTTGTTATGCCGCTCCCTCTCCTTTAACTTTTAATTAATAATTAATGCCAATTATTTAAGTGACTTTGTGAAAATCGCACCAATCTCCTGTAGGACTGCTAATGCATGATAGTTATTATTAAATTGGACGCGCCCAGTAAAGCATTTTTTATTCAACGCCTGTGATGCACGGAAAATAGGGCAGACATGCGATAGATAGGGCAGATCGGAACAAGGAAAGGGCGATTATCAATAGAACTAGATTGGCGCTACTTATGAGTGACAAACAAAATTGAAATGCCATAATTAGGGAAGCGAGTTACAAAAACGTTTACAACGACAGAATGCAAAAACAACCTAAGGCGGTTTGATATATGGGAGTGGGACAGTAGTTAACGTTACTGTCCCATATATCAAACTGCCACAGTCTTAGGCCTTAGGCTTTTCAAGGTTTTGTGACTATTTGGCAACCATATAGAAGCGGGTTTGGGCATTTCGTACCGATTTGTGCGAATTATTTATTTGTAAATTTGATGAGGCCCAGGAGAAGTGGTCAATGCTCTTATTAAGCCCATATCTACAGACAATTCCCCTTTTCAATCGATTGTCACGATAATCGTATCGATCCATCGCTAATCCTCTGGCGTTCAAGTAAAAGGGGCATTCATTATCCAGCATAGCAGTCCTCCGCATAAAGCAGGATTATTAATATAAACGCTGTGTGCAAGCAATTCTGCAATGCGTCCTGCGAGACTCCATACGTGAGCAATCTCCTGCCTGCGCGGTGGACTGCCATGCAGGTAGTGAATGGGCTGTTTTAATCGTTAACGACTTTATGTCAAAAACATACACTTTTGATTTGTCGTTTCGATCAATGAAAAGACGGACCGCGAAGACAAATCATCAAATATGGGGGCCTTTATGTTGGTTCGCAGACTTAGTGCCCAATAATAGCCCTAAATAATTGCTTCTTTTACTTATAGCTTTGTAGGTCCAACACAAATGGCTTAATTAATTTATTCTACCTATTCTAACTGTACATACATGCGAAGGAACACATGTTCCCGGCTCTTTTCTAAGCCATTAAACATTGTCTTTTGTGCTTTTATAAGCAAGAAAGAAAGTAGGTATACCAATAAAATTTAATAATTGTATCCATTGTTTCAGGAAATAGCGTATTATGCGGATATAAACAAATTTAACAGGATGGCGTTCAATGTTGTTTTGGGGTGTGTGATGGCACTAATCTTCATCCTTTTTAATATAAGCTCTATTGCCAGATATTACATAAAGGTAAGTAGGCACTTGCCGACGACGGACCTTATTCGTCGAATTATTGCTAAGTATATACGAATACTTGAGGAAGTATTCCATGTGGTATTGCAATTTTTCTACGATCGTCTACCCCTCAGCTAACGATTATATGAAATTCGTTTGTTTGGTCGTTGATGCAAAACCTATTTCAATGTAATGTAATGAGACAAGTATTTTTATATTCCTTATTCATAATAATATTTATAGCGTTGTCGCATGGTTATTGATCGCATCGCATCCTAGATTTTAGGCGGCGAGGTGTGGGGTTTGCCTCTCGCGTCCCGCAATCCGGGCGCTGTAAATTAATATGAATAAAACAAGAACAAGCGTAGAACATTTGAAGAGACCAGGGAAGGAATGATCAAAGTCACAGAAAAAAGACGGTTCCTTAAAAATTAGCTTTTACTTTTAGTCACAAAAATGCTTGTGGCTAAATGGTAGAAAAGTAAAAAATGGTAGTTAAAATGGATTACATAGTGTTACAAGCATTTATATCAGCATTGACTTTATCTCACGTAGTATTTGTGCGTGACTTTTTCACCAATATTTAAAAGTTATTCAAAGTAATAATTGTTTTTTCCTACAATTCTGTTCAAGTGACTTTGACCATCCTTTCCTTGGACTTCTTTGGCTTCAGTTGAAAATCAAAATTTAGATGGTACTCTGTTGTACTTAAAGAGAAATATCTCTATATGAAAGTTATGTACAAAGTTACATATTTTATTTTGAAATAATTCATTTGAAACTTTCATTTCAGCCTGTTTTCCGGATTTTATATGATCGGATAAAGTACATCCTATCGTGTAACACGTTAGCACATTCTTTAGACAATATCCTTAGGTGTATCGTATATTTTTTGTAAGACCGATATATTGTAAATACCTAAATTATTTGATCAAGCAAAACAGATTTTCCTGTTTCTCCTCCGGTGACTCAACAGATCTACAAGTTCATCAATTGTTTCAGTTCACACTATTCGTGATATTATCGTTAATATTCGCCACTGCACCATTACCACTAATGCTGTTGAAGCCTTTCGACCCCAGAAATGCTTTGTAAGTATTTAATTTTTATTTTTTTAGTTTTGAGTGACTTTGGCATTGTTGAGTAACAGTGATGAATGTGTGTGATGAACTTGCTAAACGTTGGTAAAATTGCCAAACTGGCCGAACGGTTACCACGCCGATCTGCTATGCAGCGGTCCCGGGTTCGATCCCCGGCCTGGGAGAAATATTTGTATGGCTTACATTTATTTCTCGGTCTCAAGTTTCGGTGTAATTTGTGGTTGTCTATTTGTGTGTTCATGGCACCCGCGAAACAGGGTTTCTGGGCTATAAAAAAATGTAAAAAAAAGTGTGGCAATTATATATTACGGACCAGAGTATAAAAAAAACTTAGGTACGTAATTTTGTAAATATTCATTAAAATTATTTGTAATTGTATTTCTTACTGACAAAAGTAATTATGCATTTCTGTAAAAATAAGCCGCCGAAATATAAGTTTCTATTTTAACTACAAAAGTTAAATAGGTACATTACTAAATAATTACAGATAAAAATATCATTAATATTTCGATGTTATAGATAAGATATGTGTTGACCGTATGTCTAATAAATACTAATTTGTAAAGACTTGGCTGTATGGTGTAAAACCTTTGCCTTTTCCATTATGGAAAGAAGGAAAAAAAAAACTAATTTGTAAAAAAAAATTGTAATGTAAAACGTTAAGCTAAATTACGCGACTCCTTCGCAAAAGAATGTTGAGAGATTTTATCTAAATAAGTCTGGCGTTATTTTCGCCCTCGATATTCCGTTCAATAAATTAGTAAATTACTATAAATCTTTATTCATGAAGATTTGTGACCACCAGAGTTTCAGGTTTTCAGTCTAATCCATTACCACGACACGGAAACTGAAAAGTAGCTTGAATTTAGTAGCAGTAGAGCTATTTGTGAATGAGTACGTCCAGGGAAGTACTGCGCCCTATTTCTGCCGCCAAGCATTACTGCGTTCTGGTTTGGAAGGGCAACCGTGCTGGTGAAGTTACAGGCACATGGGACTTGTCAACTTATGTCTCAGAGTGACGGATGCAGAGACAGCGCTCCTCAGATCTTTGCAATTTAAAGCTTTGAGCGGCACTGCAACTGTTATGGACAGGCAGGCGTGTCGCTTACTATCAATCGTATGACTTATTCGTCCCGTCGTCATTCAGTCGGTATCATAAAAAACAAAAAATCTTCAAGAAAACTAGGGTCGATCTTGATAAACTTGTTTGCGGTACTACCGAGCCCCGGGGTATTGATATCTGTTTAAACACGCATCTGTTATAATATTATTTATAGGTCATGCTTTCTACTTAAGGTTATTACGTGCATTCGTGTGATTTACAGCCTATATATTTATTCCTATGTATTCTGCGACCTTTGAACCAAGCATCTCTTATTTGCGTGATCGCGATTGACGTCGGGCGTTTATCTGTATCTTGAAATGATCTTTATCATGCGATTTTATGTTTCACGTACACTTCCAATGCAAATAATGCCAACAACACCAAAATTATTATTTTCGGTTGCATAAGGGGTTGACAAAACAGCAACATAAGAAATATTGATGAAAACAAACATACTCAACTGCTGCTTTAGAAATAAGCCCGCCAATATTATCTTTGGTGAGAGACATAGCAGCTGTTCCGAGCTCATTATCGTTCTCTCTAGCAATTGCCCTATTGGAATACTTAAACAATGCGCCTGATATTACTTTTACCTCATGGCTCTTGTATATTTTTTGAATTGCTTGTAGTAGGTTAATATGGTAGTAGCGGTATTATAAGTATTTTGAACTGGTAATGTCCATGTTAGCAAAACGAAATTCGGACTATTTACCATTATTTCTTGGATGCCGAGACGTGAGAAGGAATTTGACAGCAAAAGGGAAAAGATATACAGGGGATAGATTATTTATTTATTATTTTTGTGCGAAAGTAAAATCTGATGAATTATTAAAAGTCGTGGAACAAAAGTTGTTGTTTACGATGTTTGTATTATAGTTCTGCGAGGTTGTTAGTATTTTATAAATAGTCCTGTATAGGTACTATCAGGAAAGTTCAAGCCTTCCCAGTCCCAAATCAATTTTGTTTGCAAGCGGCGATTCTAGGTAGCCCTGTCCCTCATTTTATCAATCCTTTTTTTTTAAACTTTTCTTTATAACAAAACTATGATCTAAAGCAAATTTACCATAATATTCTATTTGTTCTGGATGTGGCCGCTTTCGTTGCTTCGTTGCCTCCACGCAAAAAAAAAACCTTTAACACGGCCGACTTAACTGATAGTACATATAACAGGGAAGAATGGAAAAGGAAGTCGAAAGGCCGTTGTCACACCTTGTGCTTTTAAAAAAAAAAACATTGAAGTGAAATAGATTGAAAAATTTATGCAAGCTTTATTTAACCAAGCAGGGATTTACACACATCAAAAGTGTCTAGGGATCAAGTGAATATTTTTGAAATAAAAATTATTTAAGCAATATTTACCAAATCCAGTCTTCCAGGACGACTTCTTACTTTAATGCTTATGTTTTATTTAACCGCTTACCCCTATATTTAATTAAAATAAACTAAAATTGATGTTTTTGCAAATTGTGGGAAAAAACTCAAATTAACGGCGTCAATTAGATGACAAAAAAATGGCGAAAATGATGATTTTGCTCATTTTTATTGTAAAGATAAGAAAATTAATAATCTGTATTCCACCATTAACACGAATCACACAATTACAGCGATTTGGCATGCTTAAGATGAGTTCATCAAAATCACTTTGAGGAATGGCCGCCCATGTGTTTTGTAACAAGTCAAAATATTGTTGTAGAGTATGTACGGTATGCATACTCGGCACAGCTCTTCTTTGAAGCATATCCCATGCGTGCTCAATTGGATTGAGGTCTGGCGATTGAGCAGGCCACGGCAGAACGTTGATACGAGCTTCGGCAAGAATGCGTGTTACGACTCTAGCCGTGTGTGGACGTGCGTTGTCATGCATTAGTTGAAATGAATCACCCAACTGGCCTCGCAAAGGGATGATAACATCTGAAACAATCCTCTCTGCGTAAACTTGAGCATTGAGGTTACCCCTGATCCAAATGAGAGCGGTTCTTCCGCCGATCCAAATACCGGCCCATATCATTATTGTTCCCCCACCCACCACATATGGATGAACTTCCTGACAATATCTCAAACGTTCATGACGTCCAGATGTTCTCCAAACTCGAGTACGTCTTGTATCCGGTCTCATACCGAAGCGGGATTCATCCGAAAAGCACACATAGCGCCAGTCTTCTTCCTCCCAGTTTCTGTGTTCGCGAGCCCATCGTAAACGGGTCCTGCAATTGCAGGGTGCAATAGGTGGAACTCTGAGCGGCCTTCGGGATCGCAGACCCACTTCACGTAAACGATTTCGGATTGTTTGATCGCCTATTAGCAAGCCTGAGGAGCTGTGGAGCCTCGTAACCAACATCATGGCGGTCATGGTACGATTCCGTCGAGCAGTATTTTGGATATACCGGTCCTGTCTGCGAGTCGTGATGCGAGATCGTCCTCCATGTCGCTCGGCCACGCTGCCCGTCATGCGATAGCGCGTCCAGAGGCGACTTATGACGCTCTGTGTAGTGTTAAGAGTGAAAACCACAGCACGTTGCCTGGAACCAGCTTCCAACATTCCGACGGCTCGCATCATCACTTCTCGGGTTAAATGATGTCGTCTCTCCATAATAATGTAAATTGTTTCGGTTCCGATGCAGATATTGTAATGATTTTGTCAAAACGCTATAACTCATTTTTATACAAAACCACATTGACAATCGATTTTCTTCTTATTATCGATATTCCTTATTTAAATGTTAAAACTCACTAAAAATTATCAATAGCGATACAAAAAAGTTAATATAATTAACCCTAATTGCAGCAATACTCTTAAACGTACTTGATCCCTAGACACTTTTGATGTGTGTATTTACCTATCATTTGTCAAGGATTGACGACATATATCAAGTATGAATACATTAATAGTTGTCTGATAGGTTAGTAAATATAGACGAACCTAACTACACTTACCTACACGGTATAGCTAGTTTCATCTATAGGAGATGAGTTTGACAATTTGAAAAATTGTTGCCATGAGAACTAACAAAAATAGCTGTTCTATTGTACATGTTGATGCCTTTTCTCGACTAATATAAATATATGAAATAGCCTTAACAGATTGTTGTGATATCATTGTGTATATATTTGTAGGATACCGGCAGCCTTGTTAAGGCTTACGTCTCGGATGTTGGGCATTCGCTGGATAGTGCGAGGGCTGGAGAACGTCGACAACTCGCGAGGTGTCGTCGTCTTGCTCAACCATCAGACTAGTCTAGACCTTTATGGTAAGATTAAATTATTACTACTTAAGACAATATAATACGTAAAATTTAACAATTATTAAAATTTAACTTTCATAGATGATGGCCCTACGGCAAAAAGTCGTTGAAACAAAAAACAAAGGTCTGCAGTAGAAAAATTCGTAAGCGCATTTGCGCACTGTATCCGATTCGTATTTGTTCCAAATCCGAGACTGTACAAATCTAAAAAACTCGAACACACTTCGGATGTCGCTTGTGCACTAAGTCTTATGCGAATCCGAGAAAATGCGAATCGCTTTGTGCAGGTGACTAGAGATAAAATGACACTTCGGACACCTGTGACATTTCGGATCGTCATTTCTCGGATTCGGAACGAATACGAAACGGACTTAGTGCGCAAACGCTGTAAAGCATGCTGGTTCGTTCCGTAGCGCAGTTGGGCGAGCGCCGAGCACGGAATGCTGAATCCAGCCGGATCGAAGGAATTTTTCGTGTTTTTTTAGTGTACGATCTTTGTATGAATAATTGTAACAAACTAGTGGAGTAATTTCACAAAAAATAATTGTCTATTATGGTAGCAAAACATCGTGATATTCAACTACCGTAATATTCAAATTTAACGGCTTTTTACACCGTACCTTTTTTGTTGAGTAACCTGATATTTCTGAGTCTTGAATTCTGAAGCTTGAATAAAGAAATTATGTATCTATCCTCTTTTCGCCATATAATCACATTGGACTTTGTTATTCGGATAAGTCGGTATTATGTCATTGTAACAGAAAGAGTATCTAAATAAGTCTAGTTTGAGTGAAAGTTGCGTTCGGTTCTAAAATGACTTAAGAGAGCTAACATTAAATAGACAAGGTATGTGTCCATCAGTCGTTAGAGTTTGTGTTTGGTAATGGTAACGTAACGTAGTTATGCAAATACTAGCATGCAACTATCAATTTCAATTTATTTTGTTTTTGAAATAAAGTAGATTCGGTAGATGATTCTTTAATTGTGGATTACGTAGATCCAACCCCATGAAGTCGATCTTTTATGAAAAAATAAGTGTAGTTGATAAATAGCATAGTAGTAAAAGAAAAAAATAAAATAATATCTGTCGATCTATGATACAAAGAGTCAAATAGACCAACAAAAGGCAGGAAATATTGCGTAACAGTTCGAGAGTTAGAAAACTACTTAGGTAGTTTTGTTTAGTGTGTTCTTAGGAACACATAATAAAATGTTCCGTCTCTCCATTACACTATAATGCAGGCGGAAGAGATGTCGTGACTTAATATCTACTGGATAATAACTTTTGTTTTCTTTATCGCTGCCGCTGTAAAACTCACAATGTGCTATTGTGTAAAATTTGTGGACACATGCCACATGTTTCTGGTTGTTTGGTATTCGATTTTCAATTTTCTAAAAGTCTACGTAAATCGAGGTAGGTATATTAGCTAATTGGTTGCTCTGAGCAAACAACTTAAGGTATTTATGGGTCTCTGACAACAGACAACACCTACGTACACTATTATGCCTTGTATGTATGTACAACGTCAACGTAAGAGGTACTCGACGCTATGTTGCTTCAAGGTTATTTTTAGATACTCAAAATCTTATAAGTAACACAAAATTTCTATTAAGCAGATTTTTCCTTAAAATCTCAAAAATCAAATCAAATCAAGTCAAAATAATTAAATTCTACATGAAAAATGAAATACAAATATTTCAATAACTTTTTATTAAAACGATAAAAAGTTATTGAAATATTTTAATAAGTTACCACATTTAAGTATTGGTAAAACCACTAACCTAGAACAATATTTTTTTAAATTTCATTTGTTGTTTATTTCCTGTTGGTTTAGTGTTAGCAGTACTCTGGCCACTGATGGACCGGTGCACAGTGGTGTCGAAGAGATCTTTACAGTACTGTGTACCCTTCGGGACAGCAGCGTGGCTGTGGGGCACAGTGTACATTGACCGAGGTGCCCAGTCCGCCAAGAAGGCACTCAATAAACAAGCAGAAGCTGTCAGGGATCATAAGGTAAGGAAGGGTACTGTTTATTTTATCTTAGTCTGGATATAAATTTTCTCTTAAGTTAATGTAGCAGTTTCGGGTTCGGAAGGGTATTGAAACCCAGCGCTACAACAGACACAAGTTACTTATAACGTCACACGTTTACTAATGATATTACGGATACTTTCTAAAATAACAAGTACCTACGTGCGACTATAACGGCAGGTGGATCTACCGACTATTTGCCTGGTAGTACCTACTTTAAAAATTATCTGAAGCGGTAGGTTTTATTTGTCGTCTTCGTTTAAAATTTAAGTCAAAGTGACTCTATTGTTGATGTTGTTATAAAATAAGGTGGTTGGGTTTACAGAGAAATATAACTTGTGTGCTTTAAACCTCAAACAATGTCGTTAGTTTTCGTCTTAAACAAGATATGAATATATTGCTTGCTTTGTTTGACTGGTGATTTCCTATAGACTATATTGGGCATTATTTATATAGTGTTGTAGGTTATTATAAATCGTTCATTTTGAAAGACAGTGATTACCTTTGTCAATTTGATGATAAAATTTAATGTTAACGACCACAATGGTCTTTTGGTTCGATGTATTAGGTGTTTGTAGGTATAGCCGTGATTATCATATCTATTGTGTGCACGTACTCGTCTGGACTTTGTTCTTGAAATACATTTAACCAATTGCGAATCCCAACACTTCCGAGCTGCACTTTTATTATGAACGATAAATGCAAATCGGGCCAAAAACGTCTTTTTAACTTCCTAGTAAAGTGATATTTTGCAAATAAGTGACTCTTTGTAGGTACTTAGTTTGGAAACAGATTAACTAATATGTGACGTAATCGCTGGAAACCGCACCTGCTCCGGTGTTTGTTCGTAAATTTAACGACCCTGGAGGGCTATTATTTCCTGCACACACGATTGTGCTTGCCTATGTGGACTGCGCATTCTGTTAGCTCTGTTAAATTTGCTAAATGGCAGAGCATACCATTTCACATAAAACTTTCTAGTTATTATTTTACTTATATTTGAATGGCACATCAAATACACTACCTTAATGACTAAACTTCTACAACAAGCTGAAGTACGTTTGTGAGTTATTGAATCTTTTCTTTAAGCTTGTTGTTATTAAAATTTTTCGTACAAAAATATAGGATGTACCTAATAATTGTGTGTGAATGACGTATTTGTTGTATTACTGCGCTACAAAGCTCTTACTTTTTAATACATGATCCAAAACGTTTAGGTATCACTAGTATGTAGCAAAGTGTAAGAATAACTTCACTTCACTTTCTATTTTTATGGCTCCATCATTATGAGAAATGATGATTTTGCCAATGTCACGGTTGAAAGAAAAAAAACAAAACAAAAAAAAATACGCTGAGCTCTAATATGACATTAACCGGTGTTGATGAGTTGGTTCACGGGGGTACTCAGTTGAGAATCTAAAACAAAAGACAACACAAACATGTATTTATAAATATATGCTATTTAAGTGGATAAATTTACATAGAGTAACAATATGGGGGGAGAACACTAAAGTTAAGAGGTTATTTATGTTAATGGGGCGGGGGAATTTCGGAGGAAGTAAGTTATAAAGTGGAACAGCAATATTAGGGCAATTGAAAAAAATGTGTTCCAAGGTACCGTCTTCTAGGCTGCACTCGCACAGAGAGTGATCTCGGACTCTGATTTTACGCAAAAATACAGGGGTGCAAACATTTGGGGTTTGGTCATGGCGAGCAGATCTCTGGGAAAGCACTTATGGTATTTGCACACGCCAATTCTTGTTGCATCCTTTGCAAAGGCGTCTGCTGCTTCGTTGTCACTGATCCCACTGTGACTGGGAATCTAGGCCTCAATTCCCGCACAGTGACATCGGTACAGAGCTTCCTTAATTTGGAGGGTGATAGAGAAATTGTCTTTGGAATGAAACGGTAGCTTAATAATGTCTTGGAGGCAGCTTGGGAGTCTGAGAAAACCAAACATTTATTAATTTTATGGGACTCAATATATAAAATGGCTTCAAGTATTGCGATAGCCTCTCCAGAAAAGAAAGAAAGAAAGAAAGAAAAATAATTTATTTGGCAACATTTTACAATAAATAATACAAAACAAACACAATTATACATTATATGTTACCAAAACGGTCACCACTCAGCTTTGTGTAATGAGACGTTGAAGAACGGCTCATTACGCTGGTTTTCAGTGGCACCATAAATTGACAAAAAGAAAGATGGCGCCTCGTCCAAGCAGGCGGCAAGATAAAATAAAACAAAAAATAAATATAAAGATTAGGTATAAAACTTAATTACAAATATAAATCAAAACTTAAAATATTAAACAAAACCATAAACTAATCCTAACATAGATACATAATAATAAAAATGAAATAAATACCAAAAATGTGATTATAATGTAGTGTAAGTGAGGTGAGTATACGTAGTGTAAGTGAGGTGAGTATATGTAGTGTAAGTGAGGTGATTAGTGTTAACACATTGTACAAATTGGCTCTGATCACTTTTTAAGATCTTTGCAAGCAATGCACGACTACCTTATGTAATGAGATTATAATTGAGTTGATAATAAAAACTTCTTATAGGCTAATTTAAAAGAGGCAACAGATTTGGAATTTCGTATTGGTGGTGGTATATCGTTCCAACATTTTGTGGCAGCAAATCGGAAACTGCCACGAAAGGCAGTCGTGCGGTGGGAAGGACACATAAGACGAACTGCAAATCGCACATTCTGTTGAGAAATCGTAAGCTTTTCGTAGAGGTAAGAAGGCTCTCGATTCTTTATTACTCCGAAAAGCAAACTTGCAAGATGTAACTTACGACGCGCCTCCATGTTCATGAGGTTGAATTTATTTAAGAACGGGGTAATGTGAGATCGACGGGGAACAGGGAAACAGAAACGTGCACAGGCATTCTGGACCCGCTGAATCACTTTCTTCGTCCGGGTTAGGAGACATCCGCCCATTACTGTGCTCGCATAATTTAATTTTGATAGAATTAGTGCATCGCACATCTTAATTCGCATGTCTACACTAAGAAAGTTGCGGATTTTATAAAGTACCTTTAATCTATAGAAACAGCTGCGCATAGTTTCGAGTACATGTCCTTCAAAATGCAACCGTTCATCCATTAGAAGACCCAAATTACGGGCTTCAAACACACGTTCCAAGTTGTCACCCCTTACAGAAACTTGAGGATTCTGACTCTGAATGCGGTCTATTTGGCTCCGCGTACCCAATAATATGAACTTGGATTTACTAGAGTTTAAAACCAGACTATTTGATTCACACCAGTGGGCTATTCGACATAAATCATCGTTCAATTCGGCTACGGCCACTACTGTGGAACTAGGCTTAAATGATTTATATAATTGAATGTCGTCTGCATATATATTATGGTAATCACAGTTTACAATAGATTTAATAATGTCCGCACTATACATAATAAAAAGGACTGGACCAAGGATTGATCCTTGCGGGATTCCCCTTGTAACAGGCATCGACGAGGATATGGAATTAGTACCGTCTTCATTATTAACACTGATATATTGGGTACGGCCAGAGAGGTAACTCGCAAACCACTTCAGTGTCAAATTATCGAAACCATAAAATGCCAACTTAGACAAGAGCAACCTAACATTTATAGTGTCAAATGCGCGTGAAAAGTCCAGAAATACCAGCAAGGATCCTTCTCCAGTATCACGTGCGGCTAAGATATTATCTACAACATCTATGAGAGCAGTTGCGGTGCTGCGGGATTTTCTGAAACCAGACTGTTTCTTAGGCAGAATATTATAAGTCTCAGCAAACTCTGTTATCTGTGTACCGACAACTCTCTCCAGGATTTTTGACAGAAGTGGGAGAATACTTATAGGTCGAAGATCTTCATACTTATTAGGATTCTGGTTTTTGGGTATTGGTTTTACAATAGCTATTTTTCATTGTTCAGGGAAAACACCAGTAGTAATGGATTTGTTTATTATCTTTGTAATTATTGATAAAGTACGGGGTAACGTTAGCAGGATCATATTTAAATTGATACCATCGTCGCCCTGGGCATTCGTGGAAAGCGATTTTATAATATTAAAGACCATCGTTTCGGAAATAGGTTTTAACGTTAAAATTCCAGGACCAAATCTATTGCATTCAAAATCATTTAACAGAGACATGCTGATATCGTCTTTACCAGGTAAATCAAGAAAATGTTGATTGATATTAACCGAATTCAGATAGGGGGATTTAAAACTGAGTACGACATTGAACTTGGGGAACCAAACCGCGGCTCCCAAGTCGTCATGTTCGTGTAATTTTGAAGCGTCGGTAAAAACAGTAGTCCAGTCATGCTATTCTCCCTCAACTATATCGTTGAAGACTTGGTTTGCTCCAGGGATATCTTTCATGATGCCAAAACTGAGATAGACTGTTGGGCGGAACGTTAAACATTTAAAATGAGTTTCAAACAACGGGTTCATATAATTTTAGGAAATAGGGAAGGGGAGATTGGAAATTTTGTTAAAACTGTTGATAAGAAGGGTAGGTTTCTTGTGTGTAATTGGAGGAAGGGATAATCTCCGACAAGGATTGCAATATACGGGAATCAAAGGGTGAGAAGAAAATTGAAAGATCTTGAAAAGGAATCTATTAGCAAGGAATTGTCTATGTAGATGTAGAGGGGGCTCCAGACCTTCGACTTGAAGAGCGTTTGTTGGTGAGGATTTCATGGCACCTGTTTGATGCATGATTATTCTCAGGCATCTTGCCTGGATTCTCTTCATCATAGCCAAGGCTATCTTGTTGCACGGTTCCAGAAGGAAGCCGTCATAATCAAAATTACTTCTTATGATTGCGTTGTACAGGAGCTTTTGGTTATACGGATGTGAACCCCAATGAACACCAGAAAGTGCACGTAAGACATTTATGCTTTTTTCAGCTTTTTGACAAATATAGTTGAGGTGATGGATGCCAGATAATTTTTAGTCCAAAATAATGCCTAAA